CTCTCAGACTGCTTCAAAGGTTGGAGGATTCCTAGCCACAGCTTGTACCTATAGAGTCTGGACTTTGTTGTGAAGAGCAACCAAACGACCGTGGATCGAGCTCTCTTTTTCTTTTCTAGGCATCTAAAATCAAAAACTTAATTAGAAACTACTTGTCTCTAAATACGTACACTCAAAAACGAAAAGAAAATAAAATATACTGGCAGAGCGCCTATTCCAAGAATACAACAAGCAAGGTCCATTACTTGCTATACCAATGGAAATAAGTCTCTAACCTACTCACACAAGGGACCACAAGTATCGAAAAAGAAAAGAGGGAAATACAAGGGAAAATATCTACTTGGGCCGAATACACAACACACTAAAGTAGATGACCGGCCAAGCCCCAGGCGTCTAAATTAGACGAGACTTAGCGCACAGTCCGAAAAGTGTACATACCTTCGAACTACTAACTAAGGGACAAGCAAAAAATGTTTTCGACAAGAAAAGTTTTTAAACGACAAACTATTTACAAAAGAAACAGAAAAGTTAAAAATGTAAAAGTAACAAAGGAAAGAAGACAAAAGGAAGAGGCTTAAACCAAAAGTTGGAGAAGGAAAAATTCTAGTTGGATGAAAAACAAAACTGAAGAAAATAAATAATAGAAAATTGCTACTATTCTAAAAAGGAAATCAATAAACACCTAGCTGTAAAAACAATGGACACAAGATGACTATCGATAAGTGGATATAAAAATAGAAACAAAGAAATTTCAACAAAGAAATAGAAGGAAATAGAAGAAATTAGAAGCATTTAGAACAAGGAAGAAAAATTGATTAACCGATATAGAAATTGTGCACAAATAATTGCTAAATTTGACAAGCAATGGGACATTGCTATTTTTAGAGGGAGGAAAAACACAAAGAAACTATGCAGCAGTACAATTTTATACAGATATACAGATAAATTTATGTTGGCATGTAGGAAAATTTTATACAAACATGTGTTTAAATTTTGTACCAACATGTGTTTAAAATTTGCGCAAGCATGTGTTTTAAATTGATAAATATATACAAACACATGATTTGCAATTTGTGTAAAAATATGGTTTAAAGCATGGGTTCTATGATAATTAAACAAATATAAATAATGGAAAGCATAAGTTAAACAGAATAAGCATGTGGGCAGTAGGTAATTAATTAATTAATTGCTATATGGTTGCAATTAATTTAAGAAATTACAAATCTTAGCAACACAACAAGAAGAACAGAAGATATATAAAGAATGGAATTTTGCCTTCCTTGAAGCTAACAAAAATTACAAGAAACAGACCAAAAATGACTACCCAAAACAACAACCAACAATCTATTCAATCTACTATTCTCTTGGCAACTGAAGGATCTGCTTGGCTGAACTCCAAAATTGATAATCAAATTAAGGAATTCAGGCAATTCCTTCTCTACCATAAATACAAAGGAACTATCATCTTTGAACCTAAAAACACTATTATCATAGAAAGTATGGAAAAATCTGTCAACTTTTTCCAACTCCCTAAAAACAAGCTGGATAGGATTAAAGAGGATTTGGTCTACACAACTCCTGCCCAAATTAATCCTATAACTATCTCTTACACCAGTGCCGAACCTTGGGACAAATGCTTTGATACCACTTATGACAAATATCAAAAAGCTGCTAAATAACAAAATAATAAAGGCCGTATTCATGCCTTAGCCTATGCCTACCACCTAGGAGAGCTGTTGATGAAAAAGCCTAAAGGGAATCTTGTTGATATTTCTTG